AGTTTCCCACTCCAATTTAGTCGACCTGAGAAAAGCGAAGATCAGCAGTGTTGTTCTGCAAGGAAGCTACAAGGATAGTCAAGATTGTAGTCGACTACAACAATATAATAACGAAAAAATGAATGATGGGGTGTTTCGTCTACGATTCATATGTAGACCTCCTTCTACAAAACCCCACAAGTTTCTTGATGAGCCAAAGTTTTCAATGTTTCTTGAAGAGAATTGCTTCAATTTCTACTTTATCCTGGTCACAAACCATGGACAGAAGGAGTAATATATTCATAATGCAAAAGTATACCTTAGGCTGAAAACTCCTATTCCGATGCATCTTTCTTCGAGTTGACTGAGCTTTAATAAGTTAACTATACTAATCCAAACGAGAAGATGAGACTAAAACAGCTAGCATATTTTTAGCAGAAACTGTGTTCTTTATTAGTAGTTTCGAAGAACAAATCTTACGGAGTTTATGCTGATACTTGGTTGTTAGGTAATCTGCCTTCTTATTTTTTAAGGAAAAACACAAGCACTACAGGAAAATCTTTAAGGTGGTCTAAGAGCGGTGCCTGTGCGAAAGTAGCGACTCACATTGGATTTGAATTGCTGGAAATTGAATACATTTGGTAAAACGTTCTCAGGAAGTTTATTCTTGAGTTCTCCAAATGAAAGAATTCTCAAACTGTGAAGTTCGAGGTATAGGGACTGAGTTGAATCTCGGAACGATGAGCAGTCACAGTCCGTCGCCTATTTCTTAAATGTACCGCTCTTGGTGGAATCAAATATGCCAAGTCACTTGAACACTTCCCGTGAAAGTATTTATCTTCCAGACTATCAAGGATGCAAGTGATGTTCCTTTCTCTAATCAGGCGGATGGCTCTTTTTTGGATGAAATCCAGCATCTTCAGGCAGTGGCGTAACTATACCGTTCGAGGCCCGGGGCAAATTTATCGGATGGGCCCCCTCCCCCCAATATAAAGAAGCTGAACCAACATTTATAATATTTTTTTATACTTATTTATACACTTTTACTTGTAATTATACAATAATAAATCACTATGACAAGTAGGTACATATAAACTTTATAATTATACTTAGGTACTTGATTTTCTAATAATTCACTTTAAATTAAAAGTACCTAATTAGATTCATTGTTTTTATTGTTTCTGAATTTGATAATACCCCGGTCTCTCCTTCATTGTCAGATGTAAAACTAGATAATATATTCCATCGTTTAGTACTATGGCCAAAAAAATTATAAATTTGTTATACAGTTTCGAATAATGTTTGTATTTTTATGACCTCTTTTACTGCATCATTTACCACCAAATTTAAATTTATGTGCTAACACAATGGACATAAACCGCATTTGGCTCTATATCTTTTACGAGTTTTTGAACTCTGCCCTGAGTGCCTTTCATGGTATTAGCTCCATCGTACTCTTGTCCACGGCACTCACAGCGGAAATTTCCCTAACATCCGCAGTAATACTCGTACCAACACGCGTGTCGAGCATTTTATTATCTATCTGATACGTTTTGAAACTGGGTTACAACTTTTTTTTTAAATACTTTGAATTTTTAAAACATTTCTTTACTTATGTATGCACCTGAGTAGGTAACAAAAATAAATCAAAGACAAAACTCCTTTTACTAAACATGTATAATAAATAATAAATGTTGGGAGTTGGGATTCTCCTCTGACCGGGGGCCCGTGGCATTTTGCCGACTTGCCACCCTGTAGTTACGCCACTGTCTTCAGGGTATTCTGAGGGGCGGAGCTACATACATGAGAACAATACTTCAAAGAAGGTCTGATCTGAGCTTTATAAAGCATCAAAAGTTGCTGAGGTGTGTACAATTTTCTCGTTCGGAACAGTTTTCCAAGCATCTGAGATGCAGCCTTTGCAACTCCAGCGACATGATAGTGCCAAAACATATTGATGTCCATTTTAACCCCCAACAAACACGGAATTGTCTGTCCTGACATCATTATATCCGGTTAGGAAACATTGATATTTTGGGAGAAAACCGATGCCTGGGTTTTCGTCACATTGAATTGAACCTGGTCACTTCCACTCTAATTTGAAATTACCTCATCCTTATTAGAGTATACAACCTCCTGGTGTCAGTGAAGATGTGCATTCGCAGCCGAGGTCCTGGAATCCAAATGGAATTCGCTACATACTGTTCTTCTTTTTTAGGTCTACAAAAAAGTCCGCGATAGCAATGTCTATCTTTTGAGGTTAGCTCATTACTATAATTATTTGAAATAATGGTCACAGTAATATAGTTATCGGAAATTAAATGCTTTATTTATCTCAAGTATTCCATGCATGTTATTATTGCATCACTATTTGAATCAATATTTTAGGTATAACTACAAAATCGTAAAACTGTCGAAACCTAACAAACCGATGCCACACGCGTGATGGAAAAAGATTGTAATTGTAATTGCAATTCAAAACAGATTTCAAAACATACTAAGTTCACTCCAGTTTGGTGATATGTCACTTTATATTCTCGTTCTATATATATTATATTCTCGTTCTCTCTCGTTCATTCACTTTTTGGAATCAATTAGATGCCTTCTAAATTGAGCGCGGAAATCCAATCCGTTGAACTCTTATTCAGTCTGCCTACTACGAATTCACTGCACAGCTGAAAGATCACAGACCATCTAAACGCGCAATCAATTAATCTCATTTATTTCGAAACCTTTGATACTTTCGAGGTAGAGTAATGCTCGCATTGAAAAGGTCTTTGTGATGGGTACAATTTAATGGATCTTGCTTTCTTTTCTGTTTTGCGAACTTCGAAAAAGACAAAGTTTAATAACACACGTTTTCAGAATGAGCAAATGGAATGAAATGGAATGCTTTGATAAACTTTGGTGTAATTTCCGGGAAATACGGAACTCGTGATTGAAACTAACACTTCAGTTACTCGTATAACGTACATGATACATTGATAAAGCAAAAATTGCAAATCCATAAAACATCAGGATTTTGAAAATATATACAAAAAAGTTGTTCAGAATATTAAAGATAGGATTTTAAGAGAATTCCATCTTAAACATGTAACTGCTACATTTTTTTTTTCAGCAAAAGAGCTGGTTTATGTTCATTGAATTTTTCATTATATATTCATTCATTATAAAACATACATCAGTTTTTGTCTCTTTGATTGTATTCCTTCGTCGTTAGACTCAACAAACCTTTCCGAATCTGGTAGATCTTCGAAATCTTCAAGACCATCACCACCTTCGTTTTCGATATCATTTTCAGTCTGCATTGCCTTGAACTTCCTCGTAGCCTTTTTTTTTTCACGTTGGAACATTTTTCAGAATATAAATTTGAGCAGCAATTTGTGCATTTCGAACAATGTTTTAAAATGTTAAACTGTTACATCCAGTTTCAAAGCTGCAGCAAATGGTGAATTTGGGCATACTGCCACATTGATGTTGCTTCCATCCCCAATCTGTTGCTGTCATTTCATTACCCAGCCAAGTTTGAAGCTAATAATATGCCCTGTAACAATGTCGTTACGCTGCATCTTTTGTGGGTGGGAGATTTGCCAATATAAAAGATAATTAAATTTTTGCCAAATGATATTTTCGAAATCTCAATTGATTCAGTGTTGTATTATCCTTTTTACACTCACAAATAGATTCAATTATTTGCAATCCATTCTTTTCGATATATTCTTTGTTTGTTTCTTTCATAGAATAAAATGTAGGCTCCAATTAATTCAAGATATTGCCAGAATATTTAGTAACACGACTATCCAAACCAGTTCGTTTCGTCTTTGACCAATGCTTAATAATGACCAGATTCAACATCGGAACCACAGTGAACAATAACTGCATGAATATTATAATAGTGGTCTGCTAGATTGAAATGTTCATCTATTTCAAACCTTCGAAAGAGTTTCTTGCTTTCGTCAGAGGTTGAGTCATGTTTGAAGATCATCAGTGTTATTATTAGATTGACTGGTGCTGCAGCTATACTTGTTGTCTCCTAATAGTTAGTTTAGCGCATATTTGGCAATACAGTTAATCATCACCCGTTGAAATTTCTATTTTCAGATGGTTTAACAATAAGCTTTGCACGGGCTGGTTATTAGTCATATTAGGTAACGCTAGTTGTAATTCAGAAATTCAGATACGTCTTTGCTACCTCTACAAAGTAAACTAGTGTTGATTTTTCCAGCAAAAGATTTACAAACACAAGATGAGATAGACGAAATCATTCAGGAGTATTGATTCTGCTATTGTTTTGCTCAGGAAGAGTATTCAACAAGAACCCTAAGAATTCGGAACAATCCTCTTGTTGTCCTAACGAGTATCTAGTAGACTTCAAAGACTCCAGTAAATCGGTTGGAGGGAAAGATGATACAGTCTTACGAAACTGCAGCTGCAAGAACAGGTGTTAGAGTTAGGTGAATAGGTAGGAAAAATTCTCGTTCTCCTTCATCATCAAAACCTCGTTCTTCAAATTTTTCATCATGAACAACACTTGTAAAATGCAATTCATGTAGCAAGTGTTTCCTAAATTATCTAATCCAATTTTCTTCTCAAGATTTCCCACGTCAAAAAGCCCGGGTACCAAATTTAGTGCGAATAACTCATTTGTAGCAAAAGTTGCTTTTGAAAAACGAATATAAAAATTCAATTTCAATACCCTGTATCTCCGAACTGAAGCATTTTTGAACACGAGTTTGTATACATTTATGTTACACCCTGTATATAGTGAATCAACTCCAAACATCTGGGATGAAAGATATGATTATGGTTGAAGACAAGGGGGTATCATTGGCTTCATGACCCATCCTTTCATTCGCCCTTGGGCAGACGAAAGATAAATTTTGTCCTTTCACGTCCCTTCTCCCAATAAATGATAATAATTACGGCAATCTGTTTCAATGAACGATACCTTCTATAAAATTGACGCTATTCATGAAACGTATTTAAAGGACAATATTCGATAATGAATTTTTGCTTTCCAGGTCTCGTCGATCGTCTGGGGCAGCTTCCGCGGCCACCTCCCAGACTCGGAACCTGAATCCCGGAGGTGAGAAAACTCATTTTCGTTTTATCTCATAACGTTTTCTCGAAATTGTAATTCATGAAATATCGTAATCACTTACTCGGAAAGGTTTAGCTCGTTGACACAAATTCCAGAAAACATGACGAATTTCCGTTTTATTGTGACAGTGTAATTGGGAAAGACGTAACTCATGTAACCGAAGGAAATGGGATATTTATGAGATGAAACTTCTCAAGGGGCTTTTACTCAACGAGAGTGTAACCCCGGAGAAGATACACTACCAATTCGCCTTTCTGATACGTATATATAGCTAATTTTTTGCAATATTCATGTTTGGCCCAAAATTCTTCAGTGGATACCGTTTTATATATTTGCAAATACACATCTTCTTGCAAATCAATTATCTCTATTTGAAGTGATGGCTTTGACAGATTCAACAACAACTGATTCGCACAAACACACACAAGCTAGGTAGAAAACTAATCAAACCATATTAGTTGTAGGTACTTGTAAAACAGGTTAACTAGACAACTTGACGAAGTACAATAAGTATTAAGTTGAATTATATGTGACTCAAAAATATTATTTTAATTCGTAAAGGTATATCTACGTATTAATTTACATTTTCTATACAACACCATACAATATGACGGTCCGAGGTAAGACCGTTAACGGACCGAGGTCCGCCTGTTGCTGACCGTTGATCTATACATTGACATGTATCTTCTGCTGTAGAACAGTGGCGTCCATGCGGAATTTCCATTGTATCATTTCAAAGGGAAAATGATAAGCCACTGCTTTCTTCGAACAGAAATTATTATCGTAATGTACAATTTTTCCTCGATTGAATTTATTCTACAGATTTTTTTTCCATTCAACGTATGTTTTCCCCATCAAAAATTAGAATCCATTCATGTAGATCTCGCGAATAAAACAATTTTTACGTAAATTCAAAAACGAAATTCAAGTGATTCAAAGCATTTTGAAATCATCTTTTACAAAAACCGAGTACTTTTTTGGAAAATACAACTATTCACAATAATTTCACAATGAACTATATCATTACTCTACTGGTTTCTGATTCGAATTGGTGTATTTTGAAATAACACCACAGAAAGTAATTTCAATTATCCTGTTGGTTTGAATTCCCAAAAAAAAATATAACTTCTTACCATAATCATGTATTCAAGTTTTTGCAGTTTCTCTATACATTGTTTCAACAAAAAGCAAGTGATTATTTCATTTTTCTGTCACCGAAAATGATGAATAAATCACCAAAAATAATGATAATTCTTCAAATTCCGCTTGGTTTTGAACATTCATAAAAATGAAAAAAAAAGTTATTTCAAACACTTCAGAAAAGTTTCTGAGATATGTTTGGAAATACATTGTTTTCTGATTACTTAACGTTGATTTTGACGTTTGATGAATAAAAATCAACCTTCAACAAGCTGTCACTTCGTTTTCATTGGGTATTGTGTTTACAAACACAATGATTTTCAGAATTCAATTTTAGGTTATGGGCTATAGATAGATCCAGTAACTTTTGTAGATCGCTGGTAATTTTTTCCATTGCCACCTGCCAGTTACTTGGAGGAAATCGATTATATAACTGAGTGTCATCTGCATAATGATGAACTGTGCAATGATCAATTATTTTTTGGAAGTCAGATATATATAGAGAGAACAGAATTGGGCCAAGGATAGAACCCTGAGGTACTCCATAATCAACAGGTAAAGCACTAGAACACTTTCCATCCAGACATACTGGCTGAGTCCGATTTCTGAGGTGACTTTTCAATAGATTTACAGTCCCTTCACTAAATCCGAGAAATGACATTTTCCTACACAGAATATTGTGTGTGTAAGTGTTTCATGATGATGATATTTTGCAGGATAAATAATATTTGAGAAGTGGAAATTTATTTGATTCAGATCTGATAAATCCGCGGAAAGGTTAGGGCTGTGTTCATTTTTCAAAATTTCAAATTTCCGTTTCTCGAAACAAATTCTAAATAGGCTTTTTTTCACACCGGATTGCTCCGGTGGTATAATTACGGAGTTCCTTATAGCTCGTCCAGTCTCTATGAGATTTGGTTACTTTGAACTTTCCTGAACTCTATGTTCAAAAGATACGATGTTTTGAGTTATTCGCGAGCTATCAACAAAGTAATCAAAAAGGGTGGCCTTCACCTCCAAAGAAAAAATAATCCCCGAACCTGAATTCAATTTGACGCAGAAAAAAAATCATTGATTGATCCAGATCAATTAATGCTGAAAGCTATTCAATAATTTGTTCATCAGACTTGTAGAGAAAATCAAGGACAATAATGTAAAACGCATTACTTGAAGCAAGCAAGCAAATCGAATTGATGACTCATTGTTTCTGGAGGTCCAACAAAAACTGCATGGTGAACAATTTTTCTTCCAAAAAATGCTTCATAAGTCACCTCGTATAATATAATGTGCCTCACAACTCAATTCTGAATAATGAATGTCAGTGGAAAAATAACTATTTTTATTTTACAATCGTAATAATGTTGTTCCAGAAACTACTGTTCAAATATTATTGAATTGAAGTATTCCTCAACACAATTTTTCTTGAACAGTTATTCAAAACAACACAATTTTGATTTATTAAAATATTTTCACATGTTTTTGCTTACCCGCTTGTGTATTGTTTGACATTCCAAGGAGTTATTCATTAATTTTTTTGATAATGGATGTAAATTGTTAGTTTTGATAATCGAAAAAATGTAAACTTTGACGTAAATTACATATTCACAAAGCAGTTTATTGGGCTTCAATAAATATTTTTATTCAATGCCAATTACTTCGAAATATCTACGAAACAATCAAAGTCCATTTCATTCAGAAACAACCGTTCCATTCAGAAACTGTTTCCGTGAATAATTTCGAAATCATTTATTTTTTCAAGAAATCTAATTCATTCGTACTATGTTCTGTTTGCGAAATGAATGAAAAATAAATTAGAAGCTTCAGAAACTTCATTGTCAGTTTTGATTAATCCAAAACCTTGTAACATTCCAAAACGAGCGCTTGTCCCAAACACCGAAACTGCAACACTCTTCACGTGTTTCACCAATCAAGTTGGCGTCTTCAGGAGATGAGGCAAATTAATTCCTGACTGTAGAACTTGTCTCTATTTATATTTGATGGGGTACATTCTCAATTTTATTTACAGTCACACATCAATGATTTCGGGTAGAAATTCGCAGAAAATTTTCCCACAAGAATCCCGCTAATTTTGAAAGAATGACTCATATAGGGGTGAACAATAAGCTGTTTGGAAACCAAATCACTAGATTTTTTAGTCTCCGGAATCGTGCTGCGTTGTCCTTGAAACGAGTATTGGTAGCTCGATTAGTCCGACTGATGTATTTTTGTCACCCCCTTCTCAGCTTATTTCATATGACCCGACTTTTTATTTGCCAACATCTTGTCTTTAGCGTGTTAACATTTGTTGAAGTCAGCAAAACGTTATGAAGGCTATTTTTACATGAATGCATATTCTCAATGATTACATAATCGTAGACAAACAACATAATCGGGATTAGAATTTTCAAAATATTTTTCAGTAAATTATTTGCTCGCAATGTGTATGCTTCACTTTACTTTTACCTCACTTCACTTTACCAGTGTCAAATATCATCTCCTGTACACAATAAAGAGGGCACAACTTCACCCATTTGTGATTTCATTGAAATTCATTCACTATCATCCATTAGTCTGGCATTTCCTGAATACCTGCTTGCAATTTCAACTTCATAATTTTATCTTATGATCGTTAGTGTTTTATTATTATGACTGTGAATTTCATAATTATAATTTTAGTTTCAGTCTCAGTAAAATACAGGGTCGCTGATATGTATGGAAACGGTCGATTATTTCCTGAAATAACATTAAGATACAAAATGATTTTTCAAAATCTATCATTTATAGAACACCTTATATATTATTCTCAGTATACCAAAGAAAATATATTTCATCAAGCAAATACGTACATCATATATACAATACTCGATATAAGAAAGAAGCCTTGAAAGTACCTAAGATGGCTAAAACTATTGGACAGAGATGTTATGTTTTTCTTGCTCCCAAACTATTCAATAAAATTCCAACTGAAATTACTGGTGTGGATCCATTAGTGGAAACGTCGTAGGACTCTATTTTATGAACAGAAATTTGTCCTCTGAACGATATTTATTACTTTTACAACAGCATACCATTCCAGAGCTCAGACGATTATTCCCGAATAATAATAATCTCAATTTGCCGGCAGAACAAATATGATTTCAACAAGATGGGGTTCATCCACATTTTGGACGTGTGGTACGACCATATCTAGATGAAAAATTGAATGGCCAGCTAAGTCTTCCGATATGATCCCACTTGACTTTTTTCTATGGGGTCACATAAAAATGTTGCAAGAAAGAATGAGGCATGAAATTTCTACCATTCCTCTTCACATGATTTTTTGATACACTGCAAATTTTTTTTCAGCGAGTTCATTACTGTCAGGAGGTGAATGGTAAACACTTTGAGCACCTCATTAAATATAATTCCAAAGAAAATATTTGTTGTTTATTAAAACTTGTTTTCTTTCTTTCCTGGCCTAACTATGGTTTTCATAAAATTTTAAATATCCTGGACATTCAATGAAAAATACATTTTTCTGTTTCATACATTTCTATCAACCCCGAACAATTATGCTTTTTTATTTTCTGTAAAAAAATATAATTAAATTGTAATCATATCCACATACCCCACCTTCTGCGACTTTCATAATAAATATCCATCATTTCCTGCTTTTTCTTTAGTAAATTTAAAAGTCGTAAAAATTTGATATCTCGAAAACGGTTGAATTTAGGAAATTATGTGTATGATATATCAATTTTGTACAGAGTTCCGAGCAGATTTGAAATATGGACTAATATACAATGTGTCAATTTTAAAACTTACAGTGGGTTATATCTCGCGAACGAAAGATGATATCGAAAAATGCTTGAGATTGTTTCTAGGATAGTAAGGGAGAACTGAAGTGACATGAAAGAGAACTCACCCACATCAACCCCCTTGGTCTCACCCACCAAAACACAATAAGTTTAAATTGCAAACCACTACTAGTGATACACCATTGAAAAGACTATAAAAAATGCTATCCAATGGTATAAATAATGAGTGTACAGGGTGAAGCAATAATTGTGTAACTTTGGCTTAAATGGAATATTTAATGAGGTTTTTGTTGAACTGCAAATTTATTAAAAATGTCAATTCAGTAAATGTTCAAAGTGAGTTCAGATTCTAATGTTCATGAACCCTAATGAAATAAAGCAATTATGCATTCATGCCACTCACCAAAAATGAGAAATTCAACGTTACTGGTATATTAGCCATATTGTCATCCAGTCAGCCTGCGCCCTCTGTAGTGTATGCGAAAATGTGCTCCATTTAATGTCAATGGTTTCTACAGATAATTTCGTATTTTTGTTAAAATAATTCCAAAATGAATGTTGAGCCTAGTTTTGTTAAAGCAGATTCCGACAACTTACCAAGAGTCGATTTTGAAGTGATCGATGAATTTTACTAGAGAAATTTTGCAATACTTTGGTACCGAAATGAAGAATGGAAAATTGAAACGGTAGGTGGCATATTAAGTAGGTCCCTTCTATTTATATGACATTCATTTCAGACTTTGTATTTTATCGAAGGATGAAAAATTTTGATTTGATTTTTATTTTAGCTCTGTCAAGGTAGTAATGGTAAAATTCAATCCAAAAACACCCTGGAATGTAAACTGATGACACGGAATATGCAGCAAAATAGGCACCCACTGAGACCTACCTTTCACAAAAAAAACGTTCTTCAATAAGATAATTGTAACAGTTGTTTTTATACCGAGTTGACAACAATAACAACAAAAATGGCGTCTGTCAAAGTGTATCATCAGATCTGTGATTGGATATTAAAAACCAATACACTTGGCAACTCCGCTCTAGACTCGATCAATTTTATTAGTCAACAGACACGAGGCCAATTTGAATTCTTGCTTTTCGAATTGTTCTTTTTTCTGCAAATATAAAGAATCCTAGGACCGATTAGGCTTGATAAGTATAATATACCCCTAATTCGATCAGTCTATAAGCAAACCAGTATCATTCCACATATCATGAAACAAGACTATTCCTTTTATTTCATATCAGAAATGCATTTTGCAAGTTTGCAATTTATTATCGTATGCATGATGAAGGAGCAGGAGAAGTAAGTTTCGGTAATTGGTAATTATATTTTACTCTAACTTTGACTGAACCTGAGTTTGCTTGTAATATCAAAATCATACAAGATAACCCACTGCATTCTTTTTTTCTCAGCGGCTATAGATGATACGAATGATGAAATAAATACAACAGAACTAACAGCTTACTTTGTTCCAATGCAAATCATGCAAAAGCTGACCGAAGAGATTCTTTCAAATGATTACTTTCCATCCACTAACGGCACAGTAAACTTAATGAAGTATTTTCAGCTTGTAAACCTCCATTATACTCACGGGAGCCATTGTTTTCTAAATTCTTAAGACCACAATGGCTCCAATAAGTTTCACAAGTTTGCCAGTTTTCAATCAGAATCGTTATTCTGCATTCGACAACCCTGACAGTTCATCGAATTAGAATTTCGGAACTTGTTTCGTTAATCGACTCAGATTGTTTATTGTTCAGTAGAAGCGGTATCGAATCGAAACTTTCTTGTTCCAGACGAAGCATACATGAAGCTGGCGATGGAAACTATGGAGGAGCTGGATTGGTGCCTGGATCAACTGGAAACTATTCAGACACATCGATCTGTTTCTGACATGGCTTCATTGAAGGTGAGTTTTGGAAAATTCATTGAATTCGTGGTAGGGTTTTATATTGATTTTCTCTTTCAACAACAATATTCACATATATTAATCATCAGATTTGGCTTAGCAAATTTTTGAATCTACGACTGTTAATACAGTGAGCAATCATACAGGTCAACTCATTGAAAAATTAACTCAATTCATGCAAGATTCATTTCTGAGTCTGCAACTACCTTTCTAATGCAAAAATTTTACTTTTCACAATACGATAATCAAACAGTTTACACCAGAACTCGAGTATAATCAGTGGGCATCTAGATTATCATAATTGAAAAAAAAAACAGAATCATTACCTTTTCTGGAAGAAAGCAATATACGACATCATGAAGATCGCGAATCATTTTGCTAATTTACATAAATATTCATCATGATGAGTATAAGCATAACATACACTCAAGTCACCAGACAACAAAATCATAAACTACATACAATGTTGCCACATCTACTAGTCAGGTGAATCTGATTACTAAAAATATTATTTCAACAATCTATACAGTGAAATATCAGGTATTGGTCCACCATCGTTATTCATAATATCATTATGTTGATTTATTTTTGAGCTCTCATAGGCATCGAGATGCCTGTTATTGTTAACTTGTCTAACTAATCTCAATTAACTGAAGTCTGTGGAATGGTTTTGTTGCAAAACATGATGGGCGACTGCTGATTTTTCTGGTCTTCCATATTTTAGGTGTGCTGAGCATTAAATATTTTTTTTCTGTCTATAATATTTAGTATCGCAGTCTTTACATTTAATTTCGTAAACTCCAGACTTTCCGAATTCTCGACTTTGTCCTTTGGATTTCCTAAAAGGCTCTGTAGTGTACCACCTCTATACCTAGTTCCTTGAAAATCTTTCTAAAGCTCTTCGATCAATTAACAATATAAACTGATACACCTTTCCACATCTTTCCTGAAAAGAAAATAAAATACTTAGGAATAATTCTAGACACCAATTTGAAATGGGACCTCCATACGTCAATAAATTGAGGACCATTCTATTCAAATTTACGAAACTTAAAGATCTATGATGTTTATTCAACTGTATGCATTACTTTAGTTATTTATTTTTGTGATTTGAATCTGAATAAACATTATTATTATTATTAGTGGGATGGAACGGAGATATATTTTTCTTGGTTGTCATCGTTTCTAAAAGTCGAGATTTCGTTTAATACCCCCTTAGGAACCATTACTGACTGCTATTGTCATTTTTTCTTTTATAAACCTCTCATGTGAAAGAGGAAATGTTAAAAGACGAAGCACTAGAAAATTCAAACCAGCACGTTTGTGATTTTTCAAGAATATATCTGTCAGTGCTTGTTTCCTTCCTGAATACATCGTTTCTAGCTTTCCACATTGACTCCTAATTACCAAAATGTCAAGAAGTAGGAGTTTTTAACTCAAACGTGAATTTTATTGATGGAAATATGTTATTTAAAAAGGAAAGAAAGTCCTCAATATTCGATTTTTTGTTATCAAATATCGCATATCGAATATCTTTGGGAAATACTTTGACGTCTCTTTGGTTTCCATTTCGAATTTGCTCATGAAGAGGTTAGCCAGGTAAAGGGACAATGGTTTACTCATAGCCGTTCCCTCCTAATGTTCATAAAAGCAACCTCCTACCTGAAAATTGTTTTATTTCATACACAAATCAGTGAGAGAAATGAATTCATCAATATCATTATTATTGAAATGTTTTTTTCCCGGTAATTCCCTGAGGTATTGCAAGGTCTGCGGAATAGTGAAAAATCAGCAGTCGCCAATCATGTTTGCAATCAAACCATTCCATAGATTAGTTGGACAAGTTAACAACAGGCATCTAGATGCCTATGAGAGCTCATACATAAGTCAACATATTATGAATAACGATGGTGGACCAACACCTAATAGTTTACTTTATAGTTTGTTGGAATAATACGTTTAGTTATCAGTTTCACCTGATTGGATGAATTTTCATGAATTGGCAGTAATTATCCAGTTTTGAGATGATCTGGAAATATTCCGGTTAGGATTGATAAATTGACAATATGTGTTTAGTTTGTTTTTCAAGGAGTTCACGATTTGCCGCCCTGTTTTTGTGGCATTTTAAAGTTTATTTTGAAATATTCTTTTTTTTTTGTTGGGTTATAAGTGCGTCATGTTTTCGTTTTGAGATTTTGTAAAATCCCTTCAGGAATCTATTATTCAGTGCCAATTCATGTAAATCTTTGAGGTTTTGACTAGACTTTCTCAAGTCATCTGAAACCCATTCATTTCTCCTACTGCGATATTGCATATACTTTTTTGGAAAATATTTATCGAAATAATATAACAATATTAACATGTGAAAAATTTGGAATACCCGACCAGTTATCCTTAGTTAGATCTTGATATAAACGTTCAAGAGCATTTCTGTTGAATGACACTTCCAAATGACATATATTGTAATTTTTTATTGTATGTGAACCATATGCAAGAAATTTTGACTGATGGTCTGAAATACTATCATCTACGATACAGGGTATAGGTACATGGATCTGATATATTTGTGAATATTTGATCGATAGTTGAAAGTGAATTGGTTGCTACTGTAGCAGGCCATCTGATCAGTTGGTTCAAACCATAAGTGGTGAAAATATCACAAAGTTTTGAGGAATCTCTGTTTCCTCCATTAATACAATTTAAGTTTAAATTACCGCATACAAAGATATCAGAGTTCGACTTATAAATTGCATTCATGATATCAATTTTTCGAAAAAAAAAATGTAAGTAGATTTCTCTTTGGCGACCTATAACAGCAAACTATTATTGTGAATTTCGATTCGGTTCCCCATGTTATACCATATATTTCGAAATCTTTTCAACACAAAAATCATTCAATGTCATATCTTTGACATTCAAGTTGTGTTTGGAATGTATATAGCAACTCATCTACAAGTGATATTGGTCCTACAGAAGTAAGTACTCAAAAAAAAGTTCTCTATATGAAATGACTCAGCTGAATCTTTCTCAAATCAAGTTTCAGTTAGGCATATGAAATTCATATTGAAATTTGTTATGTCAATGACCATTGATTTTTTGATAATTCACAACTTGTATGTTCAGAATAGACTTGCATCAAATGTTACATGTTTGTTGTCGGACAGGCCCCATATGGCCACATTTCAGGTTTCATTGCTTTCTTTCACAAGACCCTCCGACAGTGTTCCATGTGGGTGAAATTTCACTTCTTTCATATACTATATATAATGTTTAGCAATCCTGTGAATGACATCTGATTCGACTTCATAACGAATGTTTGGAACTGAATAGGAATTTTTTTCCATGTAATTAATTCAAGACTTATATGAACTACACATCTTTGTAAAGAGTTTATTTTGTATTTGATTGTTTTTTTTCTTTGGAAGATTTCCACATTTTTCGTATAAAGATGGAGGAGTAGACAGCCAAAACTTATTTTCTTTCCTAAAAAAATCTGGAATTATTTCGAAAGTTATAGTATTTTAACTGTGACAAATAGACAAAAATCATATAAACTCCATAATCTAAGCGATAACATAATTTCAATATCATCTCTCAGAAATGCTGAAACAGTTTCAATGTTCGACTCAATTAGCTGTATACTGTAATTAAACATTAATCTTCCTAGTAAATATAACAACCTGATCCAATACCAATTCAAATCACCCGTCGGGTTTACTTTCCTCCGTAGGTAACGGGACACTATGAGGAACATAGATATCTGTTCGTTCAGTTCCATAGAAACCTTCAATTGGTTTTGAGAGGTAATTCCAGATCCACAGCGAATGTTCATTTGCTGTTCTTTGTTGAATCTCACAAATTACCGCGAAGTTTCTCGTTTTACATCCAAAACAAACAAAAGAGTTAACGAAGGTCGTGTTTTTGCTGCTTCGTAGATAATAATGTTTTTGAACCTTGTAATCTGCCTTTTATCGTTCCAGAAGAGCAAAGTCGGGTAGTTTTTGAAGCAGTATTTCTTTTTTTATAATATGATACATTCAGTAATGTGAATAAAAACTAGTATAAGCAAATACTAGGGATTTCTTAAGTAAATGCTACGTTTTGTGTGAATAAACACACTAGAACTTGCTAGGGGTAGTAAGTTCAGAGTTTTCCCGGACGAGTAGTAAATGCTTAAAAAATGGTGTGAATAAAACTTTTGAAGTAGATTGTTCTGTAGCATATGCTTCGATATTTTCAAGCCTGGTCTGGGGCATGCTAGACTGTTTCCTAGCATTTAGTACATGTCTGCTCAGTCCACAGTTTGTTGTTGATCATGGCTGAGTTTATGCCTATTCGTCAACGTAAAATTTATTCTGTTCGCTCTGGAATGAACGAACGTAATTGTAAAGAACTGTTAAGGTTCAAAAGTGAGAGTGTTGATTTCCTTGCGGCACAGTTTCTTGAAGAAAGTGATACTCGTGGCGGTGGTATTTCCAGAAGACTGCAAATGGAAATATTTCTGAGGTTTGTGGGTGATCCTGGCTTTCAGTCTGGTGTAGCTCAAGATGTGGGTATACATCGTACTACTGCTAACAAGACTATGAGGTGCGTGATGAGTAGAGTAGTTGAACAATCACATAATTGGGTACGGTTTCCAACTACAGCTGAAGATATGACTGAGGCTAAAGTTTTGTGGCAGAGTGAACACTGCCGTGTTCACTCTGCCGTGGATATGGGTTTTGTTTATTTACTGAATAAAATCATCTTATTTTATATACTAGTTTTTATTCACACCATTACTGAATTATTTCAAATTTCAAGTTTGATAACAATGGTAAGAATTATATTCCTAAGAATCCTACATTATTACAATCCAAACGAAAATACAACTTATGTAGCTTAGAATTAATTACAATGTGAATAGAGTATGGCAATCATCAACAGTTACATCAGTTTGAGTAGACTTTTCAACGGTTTGCTTCTTCATGGTTTCCAACAATATAGTTTCCTTTTCCAGTTTGATCTTATTCAGTTTGTATTGTTGCAACAAAACAATCCTTTGCAACTGCGGTATGGACAGGTCTTTAATTTCATCTGCTTCATGATTCGACACAATTTTTTCACTTTTT